CAAAAGGATGATTTTTAAAATATTTGGTCAGCTCATGAGGCACCCACTTATCAAGATTTTTCAGCTTTCCAATTGGCTTCAAATGCCAGATGACCATAGAATGGTCTACATTCAGTTCTTCACCAACTTCTCGTGTAACTGTAAGAGGATCGAATTCAGTGGTTGTTCTCAATTGGTTGTTATCAAATTCCGGCCCAGAGCCTCGGGCTGAGGCTGCCATGACCACCCTGTTGTCTTCCTTCTGGGGTCCCCAGGAAGCTCCCAGGACTGAATGATCCCCACAAAATACAGTGGCCAGGATGGGAGGGCTGGAGGTCAACTCCCCCCCGCCCCTACCACCACGACCAAGAGGCCCACATGGAGGTTGGCCCTGAGCTGTGGGTTCCTGTGGGACGCAGGCTCCCATGGAAACTTCAGGGGATGAGCATGGGTCCTCCTGGCTGACAGAGCCTAGTGGGCACTGGGTGTGTGGGGCCTGTGTAGGTAGATTGGACAGCACTGGGCCTAGCCAGGGAACCGGGGACTGGTGTGGCCAAAGTGGGCAGCAATATGTTGCCAGAACCAAAACTACAGTGCAACCAGCCCAGCTGGTAGGGAGAAGGAGGCCTGCCTAGCAGGACCATCCACCCCTGTCCTGGCCCCAAGCCCAGTCTGCCTGCCTGTACTGGACATTGCCTGATCCAGGAGGCCTGGGCATGATGGTCAGGTGGTGTGTCCCTGGGTTCCAGGCCTTGGTGGTCCCTTGGGAGCTGAGCATCCTCTGGGCAGGAGGAGGGCCCGAGGTCCACTGTTTGCATCTGCCCCTGGGGGTGTGCCCCCACCCCAGCTTCTCAGCACACACAGGGACATGGCCAGGACTCCTCACCTGCTCTGTGGCTCCAGCTCTGAAGAGCTCACTGGGTGACTCTGACAGCTTCCTCCCTAAAACTTGGGTCCTCATCTGTGGGAATGGGGTGTCCCAGGCTCCCTGCAGGCAGGAACCCACCCCCAGCTCCTCTGGTGGGCCCTCGTGGGCTTTTTTACCTACTGGCTTGTGAGACCCGGTTGGCCAAACTTAGTGTCCTATTTTTATTTTGGCCTTTTTCTTAGTGTGTGTTTTCTGTAACTACTGCTGTGTAGATCTTCTATATGAGTTTTAGGTAGAGAATCTTGCCCACCCAGAGGTTCCGCACCCCAGAGGTTCCGCACCCCAGAGGTTCCGCACCCCAGAGGTTCCACACCCCAGAGGTTCCGCACCCCAGAGAGCCTCCACTTCGACCCCCCGGGCTGGTCCTGCCTGTGCTCCGCTTTGTGTGAATGTTGAGTGTGATGGATCCACACGGCTGCTTGACCCTGCGTCTCCTTCCTTCTTGTTGCCGAGGCCAGTTCTGTTCTCTCTTTCTCCACCTGAGCTGCACTTGAAGCCAAGTTGAAGGATGAGAAGTGGTTGCTAAGAAGGACCCTCCTGCAGTGAATCCGCTGTGAGGAGGCTGCGCTGGCCCAGCCTGTCCTTTCCTTCTCTAAGTTCATTCCAGAGGTCGGCCAGGGACAGCCTATCCCTGCCTGCTCTTGTGGCCTGTGAATCAAGAACGGATTTTACATTTCCAAAAGGTTGAACAAATAAAAAACTAACACTTCATGACACTGAGAAGCTTCTATGTCCATAAGTAAAGTTTGATTGGGGGTGCAGTCATGTCCATCTCTTCACAGGCCACCTGCAGAAGGCTGCTGTCATGCAGCCATGGCAGAGTTGCATCCTAGAGGCAAAGATCAGTTGGCAAAGCTGAAAATACTGACTCCTGGCTCTTTAGGGAAACAGTTTCCAGTCCCTGGTTTAAGGGCTGTGTGGCAGAACCCCAGGATCTTGGTCAGCTTGTTCCTCACTCAGCGCCTGCTGTGGCCTTTGCTAGTATGTCTGTAAAGTTTGCGTACTATGGTGCCTGTCATGGGGCGTTGAGCTCTGTCGTGCTAGATTTCAGGGTATCTGACTCATGGTCATCTGTCTCACCAACAGAGACCCTGTGGCCAGATTCAAACTAGCAGGAACAGTTGGTCTTTGGCAGCAGGGATACCTTCGAGCTGAGCTGCCACCCACCCTGAGGTGGTCCCATGACACCCACTGTCTCAGTCAAGGTTGGGGCAGAACTGGTGTCCTGAAGTGCCCTGCGATGTGGATCATAATAGCCAGGGGGTAGAGGGGGTTGCTATTACTCCCCATATCGCGGGGAGTGTCTCACGCCCTGCGATGTGGATCGTAATAGCCAATTACTCCCCCCTGCAATGTGTGTCCATTATTAGCAGTGTCTTTTGTTCAGGATATTAGGAGCAATCTCCCATGTTGTGTGTAAACAGCCTGCGATCGGAGAACGAATACCATCCTCTGCACCTCCGGATATTAGGAACCATATCACACAATGGGTGTACACTTTTTGGGATATTTGGGTTAATTTCATCCTGTGTTTCCCTGAATATTCGGAGAAATATCACAGGGTGGCTGTACACCCACTACTCTCTTGGCAGGAACATCATATTTTACCTACTGGAAATTAGGAGCAATATCACAGACTGGGTGTCAAGCCACTGTCATATTGGAAGTAATATGCTCTCCCCAACAAGTTATGAGGAACAATATCACAGGGGGATGTGTACCTTCTCCAGTAGTGGGAGTAGTATCATCATCTCTTCCTTTAGATGACAAGAACAATATCAGAGGGTGGGTGTACAATCCGTGTGTTTTTGGAAGCAATGTCATTCTCTCTTCTCCTAGGTTTTACGACTCATATCACAGGTGGGGTGTACACCTCTTGTTATATTGGATGGAATCTCATCCTCTTTCCACATGTATCTTTAGAACAATATCCCATGGGGGCTGTCCATCCCTTCAATATTGGTACTAATACCATCTTCTCCTTTCCTGGATATGAGAAGCAATATCACAGGAGGGGTGTACACCCCTTGCAATATTGGTAGTAATGTCACCAATCCCCTGTGGTTATTAAGGAAAAAATCCCAGGGTGGCTGTACGGTTCCTACTTTATTGGGAGTAATATCACCCTCTCACCCCCTGGATAAGAGGAACCATATCACTGAAGAGGTGTCCACCCCCTTCGATATTGTCAGCCATGTCATCTTCTTCCCGCCTGGATATTAGGAATGATACCCTGGGGTTGGGGGCGGTGTACACCCACTGCAATATCGAAAGTAAAATCAGCCTCTTTCCCGCTAGATATTAGGAACTACATCACAGGTGTGTGTGCACCTTCTGGGATATTGGGAGTACTATCAGCCTCCATGCCACTGCGTATTAGGAGCAATATACAGGGGACAGGGTGGTTTCACCCCCTGCGATATTGAGAGCAATATTCTTCTCTTTCCTCTGTACATTAGGAACTACATCACAGGGGTCTGTACGCCTTCTGTGATATTGGGATTAATGTTATCCCCTCCCCCACTGAATGTCAAAAACAGTATCACAGAAGGGTGTACACCGCTGCGATATGGCCAGTAACATCATCGTCTCTATCTTTGGATACTAGGAACAACATCTAAGAGGGTGTGTATACTCCTCTGCGATATTGGGCATAATGTTATCCTCTCTTCCCCTGGATATTAGAAACGATATCCCTGGCGGACAGAGGTGGAGTACATTAAGAACAATATCACCGGGTGAATGTACACCCCCTGCGATATTGGGTGTAGTGTCATCCTCTCTTGCCTAGGATATTAAAAACAATTACACAGGAGGGGTGTACAGCCACAGCCCCTGCGTTATTGGGAGTAATAACATCTTCTCCCCCTCTCGATATAAGGAACAATATCCCAAGGTGGATGTACATCCCCTGCGATATTGGGTGTAATGTCATCGTCTCCCAAAGTGGATATTGAACATAGTGTCACAGGGGGTTGTACATCTTCTTCGATATTGGGAGTAATATCATCTTCTCCCCTCAGGATCGTAAGCAAAATATCGAAGGGGTTTTACAACTCGTGCGATATGGGCAGTAATATCATCCTCTCCCCACCTAGATGTTAGGAACTATATTACAGGCGGTAGTACACTTCTTGTGATATTGGGAGTCATATCAACCTCTCCCACTCAGGATACAAGGAACAAAATGACCGAAGGGATGGACACCCACTGCGATAGTTTCAATAATGTCATCCTCTACCCCCTGACTATTAGAAATAATATCATAGAGAGATGTACATTTTCTTCGATATTGGGAGTAATATCATCCTCTCCCCGTCGGATATCAGGAACAAGTCTGTTAATTATTAATATTAATAAATATAATAAAAATTGATAGCAATCATCAATATTAATAATCACAATAAAGATAGTATAAATTAATACTGGTAAAAAATGTTAACGATTAGTATAACAATTAATCATAATATCACTATTAATAAAATAATGATATCAGCAATTAATGTTACTTAAATCAATACTAAGTGATGTTGGTAATAAAATAATTATTAATATTAAGAACTAATAATATTGTTAAATGACATTAATATTACTAATTATTTTCAAGAGTACATAATCATATATTTAAAATAATTATCCATAGTTAATAATGGTATCTTATTAATTGTGTCATTGATAATTATCAAAATCGACCATAGATGTTTAATAATTAATCCTATTATTACTCTTAATACCGCAGGGGGTGTACACCTACCTGTGATGTGTTCCTAATATCCAGGGACGGAGAGCATGATTTTAATTTTAATATCGCAGTAGGTGTGCACTCACCCTGTGCAGTGATGCTAATATCTAGGGGGTAGAGTATGACATGACTCCCAACATAGCAATGAATAGACAGCCACCCAGTGATATGGCTCCTAATATTCACGGAAGAAGCGTATAATATCTCTCCCAATATCGCAGGGAGGGTACAACTCATCTGTGATATGGTTCCTAGTATCCAGAGGGGGAGAGGATGATAATAATTCCAGTATCGCAGGCTGTGTTCACCTGCCCTGTGATATTGTTATTTATATCATAGAAGGGAGAGGATGATATTACGCCCCGTAGAGCAGGAGGCATACACCCAGTCTGGGATATTGTTCCTAATATCCATCGGGGGGAGAGGCTAATATTACTTCCAATATGACAGGGGGTATACATCCACCCTGTGATACTCTTCTTAATATTCCTAGGCCGAGAGGTTGATATTACTCCCAGTATCACAGACACTGTACATCCCCGTGTGATATTCCTCCTGATATCTGGAACAGGAGAAGATGGTTTTAATCCCCATATCGAAGGAGGTGAACACCCACTCTGTGATATCTTTCCTAATATGCAGGGGGAGAGAGGATAATATTATTCCCAATATTGCAGAAGATGTGCACATGCCCCCGTGATATTGTCCTTAATAATCCAAGGCACAGAAGATAATGTTACTCCCAATATCGCAGAAAGTGTACACCCCCACAGTGATGTTGTTTCCATGATCCAGGAGGGAAGAGGATGATATTACTTTCAATATCGCAGGGTGTGTACACGCCCCCGGTGATACTGTTCCCAATTTCCACCCAGGAGAGGATGATACTACTCCGAATATTGCAGGGATTAAAAACACGGGGGTGTACAGTGTCTGTGATACTAGGAGTAATATCAACCTCTCAGCCTTGGAATATAAACAATATCACAGGGTGGATGTACACCCCCTGCCACGTTGGGAGTAATATCCTCTCCCTTTGAAGACATTAATAACAATGTCACAGGGCCGGTGAACACAGCCTATGACACTGGAATTATTATCATCCTCTCCTCCTCTGGATATTAGAAATCATAACACAGAAGACCTGTACCCTCCCTGCGATATTGGGACTAATATCATACTCATCTTCCGTGAATATAAGGAGCCATATCACCGGGTGGCTGTCTATTCATTGCTATGTTGGGAGTCATGTCATACTCTACCACACTGGATATTAGGATTTGTGTCACAGGGTGAGTGTGCGCTTATTGCGATATTAAAACTAAAACCATGCTCTCCCTCCCTGGATATTAAGAATGACATCACAGGTAGGTGTACACACCCTGCGGTATTAGGAGTAATAATATGATTAATTATTAAACACTAATGACCAATTTTAATAATTATCGATGACACTATTAATCTGGGAAGTAAACTCCCAGATTTGGGATGTACTTCAGAGGTAGAATATTCATCCCGTCTTCTTTCCAGATGCCTGAGCACAGGGCCTTTCCGTGCTTCTCCCCCGATCCTAAGAGTAGCTGAGGTCGAGACTCACTGAAAGCTCTAGGTAAAGATATCCCACCATGCACAGGCTATCTCCGTTCTCTGACCTGGGAACAACTCTGACCAGGATTGCACATCTAGGAGGCCTGGGAACTGAGTGGGATTTTCTGAGCAACGCCAAATGGCTGCTCCCTTTCCACCGCCGTTGAGGGTCGTTACCTTGGTTATCCAGATCACCTAGAAACTATCAGTATCCAGAATCAACAAGATCAACTCTCTGCTCCTCTGACAGCAGAAGGAGCATGACCAAAATGAACCAAAGAGCATGGCAGGAAACGATGTGACCGGAAAGCTCAGAGAATGGCCACAGGGGGATGTAAGCAGGCGTTCCCACCTGAATCATGAATAATTAATGAAGCGCAAATCCAGGGGAAATCGAGTTTCAGCAGGTGCAACTCATCCAACAGGAGATGGCCAGAGGGCCAACAAGATTCAGCAACTGAGAGTCGGGTGTAGTGTCAAGTGGGACGCGACTGGTTCCAAAGCTCTAGAAGACCATGGGGCCACTTGGACCAAGTGAGAAAATGCCCCCAGTGTGCTGGTTCACCATTCCGACTCCTGCCTGTCTCTTCCCATCCAGGGAACTTGGACCCTAACTCGTGCAGGTGCAGATGACGAAGGGCAGAATGAGGGGACGTGGCACCCAAGTTCCCCGACAAGAGAGTTCCACAGAAAGTCCGCTGGATCTTCGCAAATCCAGAGAAATGGCAACAGGACCCAAGGAAATAGAGCCCCACCGGTGTCCTGGAGACTCTTCAGGCATAATGCCTGGAGCCGCAGGATGAGCTGAAAAAGGAGCCAGGCACCGAAGGACAAAGAGGTGTTGACTTTCTTCATCTGGGTTTCCCAGTGCAGTCCAATTCACGGTGGTTTCCAAGGGCTTCCTGGAGGAGAAAACACGTGAGGGTGTGGTCAGGGTTTTCTGATGACGCACTTACTGTGGGGAAGAAGGAGAAGCTCTGAAGATGGATAACGACCGAGATTGCATGTCAAGGTGCACCTCCTTGATGACACTGAGGTCTACGTTGAAATAGAGTAAATATGGTCCAATTACACTGTGTCTATTTTAGCACCTTGTTAAAAAAAAAAAAAAAGAGATGTAAAACCAGACAGGGGTACATGCACCAGTGCTACATACCTGACGGGAAACATCTATTCTTCAAAGCTTGCAGCTGTACAGGTAGGTTTTAGAATGTCTGTCCATAGTGAACATCGTCTTAGAGTGGGCTGGGCAAATAGACCTTTCCAGGTCATGTAATTGGATTAAGTTGATTAGGTTAGGGTCCGTTTCGCGTCAGGGGTCCAGAGGCAGTATAAAAGGCAACCTGGAAAGCAAAGGTCCCTCTCTGCCCCTTCCTCTGGCTTCCTGAAGGTTGCACCGCTTCCAGCAGGGCTGCTCCAGCACCTGCCCATCTGAGCGCCAGTGCACCTGTCCATCTGAGCGCCAGCCGAGGAAAGAAAGTAGACCTGTAATTTCAGGTTAGTTTCCCTGAACGACTGGTTGTTTCACGTAATCCCTGAGGGGTTGGGGGAAAAGAGACAAAGGAAAGTGAAAGAAACAGATCACACTGGGGCTCGCTGATGCGGTAGGATGTGTTCTCCTTACCCGTAATTCTTGGAACAGAAAGCGAGAAAACATTTCCATCTCCGTGCCTGGGAGAAGAGCCAGATGGAAATGCAAAAAGAAATTTACTCCAGCATGCTGAATTGGTGGGTAAATGGAAAAAGAACTTTGGAAAAGGGGTGGTTTGCCCTTTAGCCATGTAAGAAATTCATATGCCACTTGTTCAGCGTTTGTTTAGATGAATTCGTATGGCGTGTGTAAAATACCAGAAAAATAAATAAAGAGGGGCTGGAGCCAAAGCCAAAAAGACAGAGCAGGAAAGACCATCACCTGCTAGTGTGGTAGAGAGGGAGATAACTTCTCTCGATGAATTTGTGTTTGGAAGTTGCCTAATGAAACGGCAAGAGTAGCCATTTGAGTTCTGATAGGAAGCATCCCTTATCCCTGACTTCAAGCAGACCTGCCAAGGGGTGACATCGGCCATGCCCTGTAGCTTCTATTCTTTTGTCCCTCAGGGGAGAGAGAATCATTGTGTCTTCTACTGGAGTGAGTGGTGATAGACCTAAGTCCAGTCTCCAGAATCAGTTGTTTGGTTGGGATTGAAATCTCAACTCCAACTCCGCATACCTAGGCCGTGGGCCATGTGGCAGGTGAAGTTTACTCTTGGACCAGGTAGTCACGGCAGAGGAACACACAATATCTGAGGATGCACACACCACATTGTGATCCACAGATTTGACCGACGGGTGGTGAGGTCTCCTCATGACCACACCGTCATGGAATTAGCTGAGGGTTTCTTGTGGGTGTGTGAATATCCAATGTGCCTAACCATCGCTTTGTGTGTGTTTGTGCGTGATTCAGGTGACCCAACCATCAACCCCTGAAAAAGTCGGCCATAAAACGCCCAGGAGATGAAGATGATGGCACGTCATGACCCCAAAAGTGGGGTAAACAGACTCGTGAGAGCCCAGACACTCCAGAAGCAGCAGAGGGCCCCAGTTGGGCCAAGGGCTCCCCCACCCGATGAAGAAGATCCCAGGGTATGTCTAGCCCTGGAATCTTTTGGGTATCGAGGGGGGAGGAGGGGGCGAGTGTCACACGGTCCTCAGAGACTGGGTTGGTTTCCAAAGAGTTCTGCCAGCACCACCCGGGTTGCTTTTCCCATCCAAGGTGGGCCTGGCTTGGGACCTCCTCCGCGGTCCGACAGGTCCCTGGAGAGACTCTTGGGAGCAACCTCCCTTTCCACTCAGAATCCTGTGTAGCCAGGTTGGGCTGTGTTGTGGACATCGGGTTCACGATCGTCCCCGCTAGAACCCTGAGTCCTTCCTTTGAGAGTTCCTCCCTCACATGGGCTTTGGGAGGGAACATCATAACCGAACCCTCCCGCCACTTAAGGGCCCCCATGCCGGTGTCCCCGCTTTGGAATCCTCACTCAGTTCTGAAATCACAATCCGTCTCAATGTTGACATTGGATCACTGCCTGTGGCTTCAGCTCATTCACTGACATCACTTCCTTTCCACCCACAGGTCAAGTGCAAAAACTGCGGGGCCTTTGGCCACACGGCCAGAAGTACCAGGTGCCCCATGAAGTGCTGGAACGGAGCCCTGGTTCCCCAGACCTTTGGGAGAAAGGAAGGGAAGGAAAACCGGAAACCATGGAAGCCCCAGGTTCGAAGGAACCCTGGGCCCTTGAACAAGGAAAAGGGAAGGGAGAAGGAAGCCAGACCAAGGTGGAGCAGGGAAGGGGTTTTCACCACCCTTAGGGTACTGCCACCCAAGGACACAGTGTCTCTGCACCCGCACACCGTGTGCCTTTCCGTCTCTGGGACAGGGAAGGAACGCTGCAGAGAAACAGACCGGGCTCCCCATCCGGGAGCTCCTCGGCTCTGGGAGATTCAGGCCTGGGTGGAGAGGCGGGGGCGCTTCGTGCAGGTTCTCCATGACAGGGGGAAAAGCAACGGAATGCAAATGACAGTCCTTACTTGGGAAGCCTAGAGGGCCACCAGCAGGATGGGAAGGTTGGCACATGAGGGAAGGTGCAGAGGCGGAAAGGGCACAAAAGTTCCATTTATGTATCACAAAACACAGAACGGGACTGGGCCCCAGACAGGCTTCTCCCTGTCTCCTGGGGAGAACCAGGGGGCAGGGCCTGAACTTTTTCTCTTCTGCAGGCAACAAGACCTGTAGAGGAAGGCTCTCCTCCAGATCTTTTCCGGGACACCTCCGGAGAAGCTGCCGCCAAATCGAAAAGAATCCATGGAATCTTGTGATTATCTGAGGGTGAGTGTCACCCTGGGCCGCTGGTCTTTTTCTCCTCTAGGTCACCCTGGTTGATTTCCTTTCAGGTTCCCGTGTGTGTGAGGGGATCGGGGAACCCTTCTTCCCTGCCTTCTTGGGGTCAGGGACTCCACGATCCTTCCAGGTCCATTTGATTCCAGATGAAGGCATCTGAAGATGCCGTATTTCCTGCTGCTTTCTTTCTGTGCAATGATGGCAAGCCTGCCAACAACATCTTCCTAGCGGCGTGAGGAAATTAGTCCCTCTGGGGCGCCAAACATTCAGGAGGCTCACCCCAGGAACATGCATGTTTTCAGAAAAGACGTCCTGGGAACCCTTGAGCCACCGACCTGCCTTCAGATGGACATTAGTCCGTCCCACTTCATGGAAGGCTGAGTGGAGGCGCTTTGATCCAGTGAATGCCCAAGACACAGTCTTTAGAAAAATGGTATTCTCAGATCATAGCTCGAGAGTGCATTTTTCATGGGTCTTGTCCCGATCAGCACTCACCTTGAGGATCTGTCCCTACTTCCAAGGACCGCCTGTCCATACCGTATTAAGAATTTCCTGCTGTGTGCACCTTGTCTTTGAATGTGATTGATTTCCATGTTGGCTCGATGCCGAGGAACCTCTAACGTGTGTGGTCTCCTTTCTTTCAGGTTGCAAGCAGGCCAATGCCGGTCCACACAATTAATAAGAGGCCACGCGTGGACACTGCCCTCACTGATGGCTCAGCTACCAAAATGTCTGACACGGTATCCGTCTTGGCTTCACTGTCTCCCCTCAGAAAAGCCAGTCCGAGCTCCTCGTCAAGTCTCCGACCAAAGGAACGACAGACAGGGGCTGTGGCCGACATCCCTCAGCCTGGAGTCAGGCAGCAGGGCCCGGAGCCTCTCGTCGTGGTGAAGCCGACACACAGCAGGCCTCAGGGTGGCAGTCGAGAAGTTCCCCAGGCTGCCTCCAAGCCCCACGGCCTGATTCGGGTCATCAGCCCCCAGGCACAAGACAATCGTGCTGCGGTGACCTCACAGCCCTGCCCACCAGCCGACACACACAGCTTGGGCCTCGGCTCCAATCTCAGTTTCAGGCCAGGAGCCAAGAGAGCTGCCCAGGCTCTGACTCAGGCTTGCCTGAACTTCCCCAAGAAACCGAGAATGGGTTCCTTCCAGATGCCCGAAAATGCCATCCAGGGAGGTGAGCTGGGGGCCCCGGAGACTCTCCAACCTCTGCCAGCTGCAACCGAACTCAGACCAAGTCCATCGCCCCAGATGAGCAGGGGGACACCCGCCCAGGTGCCCAGCAGCGACCGGCAGCCTCCGCACAGCAGACCTTGCCTGCCTACTGCCCAGGCCTGCACCATGTCCCATCACCCAGCGGCCAGCCACGATGGGGCCCAGCCTCTCAGAATGCTCTTCCGGAGACTGGAAAACGGATGGTGGAGCTCCAGCCTCCTGACAGCTCCCTCGTTTCTCTCTCCTGAGAAGCCGGGAGCCTTCCTCGTTCACAGCCGTCATGTCTCAGAGAAGTCTGAGGCTCCCTGTGTTCCTGTCCCCCTGAGTGTCCTCTATGAGGACTTTCAGGTTTCCTCCTCCTCAGAGGACAGCGATTCTGACCTGGAGTGAGACTACAGATGGCCGGGGCTCCATTGCATCCAGTTCCCGTGATTTGGAGGGGTCTGTGGGACTGAGGAGCACAGAGCAGAGAGCAGACTGTGTGTGGTGACTCCCAAGCTCCCCAGCTGTGGTGCTTCTGGGGATGTTGGAGCCCAGGCCAGGCAGGGACCACATGCAGAGACTCTGCCTCATCGAATTCTTGTGAGGGACATTGTAGTTCGCAGGGCGCTCCGGAAACCCACCACCAGAAGCTTCTGTGCCAGTGATTCGTTGCCTCAGAAACTGGTTGACGGTGACGCGTGGGAGTCAGACTTCCGCTGTGATGTCAGTAGGAAACTGGGGAATGACTGTGCATTTGCTCTCTAGATGACTGAATCAGGGAACAGTTAGGGAACCCTGAGAGATGCAGGCCTTCAGCTGCGCCCCGCCCTGACAGCAGTGTTTTGGACGCTGTGAAGCGTTCTGCGCAAAGCGTTCTTGGGGTGTTTCCCCAGCCTCGAAAATTGGGCTCTGGAATGCCATTGGAAATAGGTGTGTTTAATTTGTTTTGAAGTGAATAAAATTCTCAAAAAGATGACGTACTCTCTTTTGACTTTCATTCCGTGTTTGTGTGTAACTGATTTTCCAAGGGCTTGAAAATTTCTTGACTGGTCAGCAATCCAAGTCATTTTGTCTCTGAAACAGAGTTGATTGAGGGGACCGCAGGTCTTCGCAGGACCTGTGACTTCTTAAGCATCCACAGGGGCAAGAGAACCTCAGCCCCTAATCCAAGTCATTTTGTCTTCTGAAACAGAGTTGATTGAGGGGACCGCAGGTCTCTCGCAGGACTCCGTGACTCTTACATCCCAGGGCAAGAGAACCTCAGCCCCACTTCTACCAACACGCACCTAGTCAAATCTCCGCCATGAATCCTCTACGCACGCTAACACGTAAAAGAGTGCTGCTTATACTCACTTGAGTCCCCACTTGGCCTACGGTGATGCTACATATGGGCTCTACACGATGT